CCAAGCATATAGAACTCTTAATAAAATACCTTCTATAAATGCACACCCTCTCTAAATGCACATTTTTGAAAATTTTGCCTATGGTCCCAAGGGGGGTGCACTTAGGGAGGGTTCTCTGTAATTATTTTCATTTTTGGACCCTTATTTGTAAATTCCCCTAAAAAAATTGTTTCATAATTAGTTTGGGGTTAGGGTCCCAACAGTAGGTTAGTGTTTGGTTTAAAAGACTATGGTTATAGTAAAATTTCACAAGGAAAATTTTAGTTAGTATGCAGAAGGCACTTTCATAGGCAAAATTTAAAACTACAAGCGTTTTTTGTTTTTGCATTTCTTTTGCATTACACAAGATCTTGAAATCTTATTGGCCAGCGAAATTAATTAGGGTGATGATTTCGTATGGCCGATGGGAATATCATGATCATTAAAAATTAAGTGATTTAATAGAAAAAATTCCTTGATAATCAGAATTTTTCCGCTTGTTCAGAATTTATCACATTCATACATCATAACTGATTGTTACCTAGGACACCTTGTGAAAAAATTAACTGAGTGATTATTCAGCCCATTCGATAAGTTATTGATTTCGGCATGATCAATGTAATGTTTATTATTTACAAAGATGAAGTACGTGCGTACGTAGATGCTGATCGATTTGAAGTGACAATTATTAATCGATAATGACCAGATAACCAATATCGATATAACTCTAGTTAAGTATTATACTTTCGAAGCATACTCAGTCGAAAAAAATTTATCTTCATACGTACCAGACTTTAGACTATCTTTGTAAATATAAACATTACATTGATCATGCCGAAATCAATCATTTATCGAATCGGCGGAATAACCATTCGGTTAATTTTTCATAAGGTGTCCCAGGAATAATGATAACAGCTGTAATAAAAAGATCGCCGGAAAAATATCGGGACATGTCGTTCCACAATTTTGTGCAATGGTCACTATATCAAAATATTAATAAGCAAGCATACAATTAACCAATTATATACAAATAAAATGCTTAATTTAATCATGTTTTCATAAACGGTTTCATGACGGTTTCATGACGATTTCATAACTAAGAAGACAATTCGCAAATCATACAATTCATATAATTCAATTTTACTATTTTCTTACCATCACATAAATGATTGGATCAAACTTTATTATTTACTTTTAATAATCACCAAAATCCGCCCATACTGCATGCATGCACATTTTGGCCCAAATTAATTGCATGTTTTGCATGCTGTGCATGCAATGGCCCAAAATTAATGAAAACAGCTGTAAAAATTAGAGGTTTCTGACCAACTGAGTCCAGTTACAGCTGTTTTCATAATCTGGCAAAAATTGTTTGACCGAATATTTGCCGATTCGATAAGTTTTGTTTTGATAACTTTTTGATTCAGCAAAAGTTTATCACCGCCAATCGAATCGGCAAATATTCGGTCAGTCAATTTTTGCCAGATTATGAAAACAGCTGTAATTATAATAAACTCAAAAGCCAGATAAATATCTTAACGTGGAATGATCGGCAGAACCAATTAGGAACTTGTATTACTAAGTTTAGTCTTTACTAGAGTTGCAGGTGAAACTGGTGAAAATGATGGTGAGACTGGTGAAACTTGATGAAACTTAAAATTATTTTCACCAGCAACTCTAGTCTTTACAACGCATAAATGTTACATTTTTTATGCAAGATAATTCCTTTTTGTTCACGTTAGGTAAATAACTTATTTTAATGATTTTCATTTTAGCCTATCCTAATTTATATTACCATTATTGTATTGATTTACTATATGCCCATATTCTAGCCCTTTGAGGTCATAAAGAACTAATATTCAGTATACTAAACATGTCAAATTGGTTTAAAGTTGCTATTGAACAAAAATACATTACGTCATTTGAGTATGATTCTTTTCAGAATTGGGAAGAAATAGGCAGAGGAGGGTCTGGTACTATATATAGCGCTTATTCAAGAGATATTGAAAAAACTATAGCTTTAAAGAGTTTATATTGCGATGATAATATTTCGTTGAATAACTTTATTAAAGAAGTATTTTATATAATATCTTTTATTTTTTCATTATGTTCTTATTTACGTCTTTATTTGCGTATTTACTGATTTACTATATCCAATATTACATCTTATAATACACTATAAGGTCAAAAATATTACTAGAGTTACACATCATGATAATATAGTACGATTTTTTGGAATCACTCAAAGTAAATTAATTTTATACCTTATAAAATCGACTCTATCGGCTAACTAATTATTTCGAATAAATTAGATCCGAAAAAAGAAGCATATTACATGGTTCTTCAATTCACTAATAATGGTGACCTTCGCTCCTATTTACGTAATCATTTCTCCGAATTAGATTGGTCAACTAAAATTAGAATGGCAAAGGAGATTTCTAGTGGGGTTAATTGTTTACACAATGCAAATATTGTTCATCGTGATCTTGTAAGATACCTTTTCTACTTAATTTATTTCTCACTTTTTATTATATTCGTTAATGTTGCTATCCGTTATAGCATGATAGGAATATATTAGTGCATGATGGTAGATTAATGATTACGGATTTTGGATTATCTAAATCATTAGACAATAACACAAAATCTATTGGTGGAGGAACATATGCATTTTCTGATCCACAATATCTCCAAAATCCATTTTTATACAAACGAGATAAAGCTTCTGATGTCTATAGTCTTGGCATACTTTTTTGGGAACTGTCGAGTGGTAGATCTCCTTTTAAAGATATATCTGATCCAACAGGGATAACTTTACAAGTAATTAATGGCAAAAGAGAAACACCTATTAACGGAACTCCGACTGACTTTATGAATATTTATTGTGATGCTTGGAATGGTGATCCAACTTTACGTCCTAGTATAGATGAAATCCGTGATAAATTAAATTATATACGAATGGACCCAGTTTATCACAGTAAAAAAGATATTAATATAGGTATTTCGAGGAATTATACAGAATTTAATTCATATAAACTAGATGATGCTGATGATATCATTCAAGATATGAATTTAATAGGTTCATTATTTTTAATTAATTATTAGGATTAAATTAATACGTAACCATTATTTTTATTAATAGCAAATTATTTACTTTTACAGAACAACGATTTAATAAATTGCATATCGTTAGTCAAGATTATGCAAATTTCAATTCGGACAATTATATTACTATGGATAAGAACACGGAGGATCCGTTTGTAAGATTAAATAAGTTATTAGAAATTGATCCAAATAATGCAGAAGCATTAAGGAATTGTGGAATAGAACACTATAAATTAGAAAGAGATAACGAATCATTGGCAGATTTAAATCAATCATTAGAAATTAGTCCAAATAATCCATCCACATTAGCATTCCGTGGAGCAACTTATCATAAGATGAACGAATACGAAAAATCACTAGCATATTTAAATAAATCATTAGAACTTGAACCAAATGATGCTTTCGCATTAAGCCGGCGTGGAGAAACTTATCGCATGATGGATAGATATGAAGAATCATTAGCAGATTTAAATAAATCTTTAGAAATTAGTCCAAATAATCCATCCACATTAGCATTCCGTGGAGCAACTTATCATAAGATGAACGAATACGAAAA